GGCCACACACACACACACACACACACTAAAGGAATAAATAAATAATTTTAAAAAAAATAATAATAATATCTAATTTCTCTTTTTCTTCCTTTCAGGTCTTCCCACACCCCCAAAAAATAAAAAAGGCTTTTATTCCCCCACATGATTCTGCCCCGAACTAGGCCTTTACAAAAAATATTAGTGCCTCTGGCTAGGGATAAAAGATGCAGGGAGAGAGCGTGGAGGCTTCCAGTGCCCTTGTCCCCACATGGGTCTGGCTCTCAGCCTCAGGCTGCAGCCCTACCCCCCTGAAGGGGATGCTGGAAAGGCAGATGTCCCCTAAGAGTGGTCTTTGGCCTATAGTATTAGTAGGTATGTTGTGTAATTATGCAGAAATTTCTCTCTATGTGAGCTTGCTTTGTATTCCCTCCGCCACAGGCCAGACACCTTCCCATGGGGGCTTCGCCAACTTTGATGCCTTCCGCAGCAGTCCCAGCCCTTCTGCCTTCGGGAGCCTCCCTCCTGCAGCCCAAGCCCCCTTTCAGGCCCAGCCAGCACCCGCAGGTAAACTGCCACCCGCTGCCTTTCTGTCTCCCTATGGCACGAGCTGTCCACATCCCAATGTCACCTTTCAGTGACATCCCCACTACTGATGAAGGAGGTGGCACAGAGGAAGCGGTGTGTGTGATGCATGTCTGTCAGAAGAGCTGGCGCTGTGGCCCTATTTTTCACATAAGGAAATGGCTACTCTGGCAGCAGAGCCTGAGCAGGTTCTACCCGAAATGATTTCTGACTGGGAAGTGTGAAAGACCTGAATCTAGACAAATTAAGCATGACAGGAATTTTTCTTGAAAGCGCTCTGGGGGCGGGGGAGATGGCTCAGTAGAATAAGCACTTCCCTAGCAAGCTCAAGGGCCTGAATTCAATCCCTGGTTCGGGGTGGTGGTGGTGGGGTGGGGACACTCTGTGTATGCGCTGTACTGCCCCCAAAGCCTCGGACTGGGTCAAATTCACAGTCTTCTCCAGAAGTCCTCAGTATCCCTGTAAGAGGCAGGGCCTGTAAACTCCAGCTGCAGGAGATTCTGAAGGCCGTTTAAGGCACCCGCTTCCTGGCCCAGCCTCCAGACAGCTATATTCACAGCCTCAGGGTTGCCTCTCCCTTTCGATGTCCGGGAGGCCAGGAGGGCAGCTAGGCGTGCTGTAGGCCCGGATGTCTGTGATCAAGCCCTGACGCCCACTCTCTTCCTCCCTTTCCCTCCCTTCCCCTTCTCCACCCTCACTGCCAGCCAGTCGGATGCTAACTGGAAGTTACAGCTTTGGTAAGTTATCCTTCCCACCCCACAGCCTATCCAAGCTCCTCTGATCATACAGTTTTGAATTCTAGAAGAATCCATGTGGGAGAACATGTGCTTGGCACGCACGAGACCATGGGCTCAACACTCAGACCCCAAAACCCAAAGAGTTAGCACCATTGAGCTGTTTCATAGATGAGGGAGTTAATCAGGTCACCTAGTCATGAGGCCCAGGAAGAGGCAAAAGCTGAGACTTCCCCTGGGCCACTGAGAACTGCTGGGCTGCTTTTTTATTTATCTTTAATGAACCATTAAGAGACATTTTATAGTGATAAAAGTTAAACCTCTTCAGGAAGTTCTCACGGTCATGTACTTAAAGTAACTGACAGTGAACCTTGAGATTCATAAACCGAAACCCGAAACCTCTTAGACACAGTGGGCATCTAATGAATCAATTGAGTAGGCTATAGTACACTCACAAGATTACTAGGTAAGGGCCAGCCAAATAGCTCAGCGGATTAAAGCACCTTTTTAGGCAGAGTACAGTGGCTGGGATTTGCTCCCTAGCGTGCTGTGCCAGCCCTGTCCCTGGGGTGTGCTGAGATGGCAATTGAGACTGGGCGTGGTGGTTTGCCTGTAATCCCATAGCTTGGAAGGCTGAAAACAGGAGGATCACTATGAGTCCGATATTCATAGTGAGACTCCTATAGACCCTGTCCTAAAATACAAAAAAAGAAAAAATTACTAGGTAAAATAGGTAGATAAGCAATAAAGATGATTTGAGTAGTTTAACAAGTTTGATCTAACAAATATAAATGGAACTTTATAATCTGCGAACTATATATTCGTTTCTAGTTTTTTTTTTCTTTTATAGTACTGGATTTAGAACCCTGAGCTTTGTATATACTAAGCTTTGTATACCCAACATTTCCAGCCCAGAATATATGAAGTGTGATCAAAACATGCGGGGAACATTTAATTTATGATGGTAAAAGGCACATGGCCACTAGCCCGCCTCAAAATATTTCGCCCTCCTTCAGACACACCTATTCCATCATTCTTGCCACTTCCTGAAGCAGTTCTGGAAGTCCTCTTTCATGAGTGTCTTCAGTTTCAGTGTCATGGTTGCCTCAATGCCTAAATCAACTCAAAACATTTATTTTTCATGGTGATTTAACTTTGAAAAATATCCCAAAGTTGCACAGTGCCAAATCTAGTGAATAAAGTAGATACAGACACACTGTAATTTTTTTTAAAACGTCGGGTACATTGTGTTTCACATATTTTTAAATAAGAGGTAAGTTGGGAGGCTTTGTTTTTATTTTATTTTTTTTATTTTAGGGAAGGGTCGGGCTGGGAAGGGTCTATAGGGTGTTCAGGGTCCCACTACTAAATCAGACTCGTGATCTGCCTGTTTATAGCCTCCCAAGAGCTGGCATTCCAGGCACGCACCACCACTCCCAAGTCTCAGTTGCTGTCTTAGGCAGGCCCAGCAGGGCAGGCCCAGGGATGAACCCCTGACCGGTGCACCCAAGCAGGCGCTTTAATCCACTGAGCTATTTGGCCGACGCTGTTTATTTTTAGTAGTTAAACTCCTGCAAAATTTAGAAATGAAACTTAAAACTTTAAGACAGGAATAAACATAGTTTACATTTTAATTCATTCAACATGAATAGTTGCCTCATGCCAGGCAGTACACTAGATACTGAGAATATAGATGTGAAGATATACAAATCTTGACACCTAAGAGATACCGTAGATATGGTAGAAGACATGCACACCAGTCCCAGGTCCCCACCCAGGCCATCCGTGATGAACCAGCCCACTCTGGGCTTTTTCCTCATAAGCACCACTTGTAGGGACCTAGTCCTGCTAATTTGTCACCCTAATCTGGGAGTGAACAAGGATGAAAGACAGACATACAGATTAAGTTAGCAAGAAGCAGCCAGGGGTTCATGCCTCCAGCAGGCAGGGGACCCCCAGGCACCTGGCTCCTCCGCTTTTATATTCTCGGACATAAGGACAAGCAGGTAAAGTAACACGAGAGTCGCCGGCCTTCCGCTGTCCATTAGCGTGCGCCCGCCCGCGAGGAACAAGCTGGTCGCAGCTGTATTGACTTTTCCTTTGTGCTTCAGAACAAACCTTTGAGGCCTCACTTGTCCTCTGGTCTCCCACAAGATATTACTTTCACACTGGGATGTTTTTGTTTGCTAGAAATTGCCATAAGTGCTTGATCAATATGAGATGAGCATAACCTAAGACAGTGAATGTTTAAACTTAAAACCGTACTCTAGGGGCCGGGGAGATAGCTCAGTAGAATAAGCACTTGCCTGGAAAGCTTAAGGGCCTGAGTTCAACCCCTGGTTCTGCCAAAAAAAAAAAAAAATTCCTTTAAGGGGGCTGGTGAGATGGCTCAGTGGTCTAAAGCACCTACTTAGAACAAGCTAACCTAAAGCAAAGCACAGGGACCACGGTTCAATCCCCAGCACCACATGCCAGCCAGCCCCGCCCCCTGGTGGGCTGAGCTGGCCACACACACACACAAATAAATAAAATTTAAAAAAATAAATAAAAAATAAAACCGTACTCTAAAGATAAATTGCCGTTAGCACCCCTTAAATACTCAAACCACCCTCCCCCTAGATTCAGACACACTCATCGCATTGTTTTTGTCAATACGTCTTTGTTTTGTTTTGTTTTTCAAGCCAGGGTCTCACTATGCAGTTCAGGCTGACCTTGAACTCACTATGTAGTGAAGGTTGGGCTCAAACTCAGAGATTCTCCTGCCTCAGCCTCCCAAGTGCTGGGATTACAGGCATGGGCCAGCTCATCCACTTTGGCAGTGTGTCTTTTACTCTACTAATTAAGCATTATTTAGCTGAATACAATGGCACATGCTTTGGGAGGCTGAGGCAGAAGGACTACTGTGAGTTCAAGGCCAGCCTGAGCTACATAGTAAGTTCAAAGACTACCAGTAATGGCTGGAGATATAGCTCAGCAGCACAGAGCTTGCCTGGAAAATGCAAGTTAAATTCCCAGTAAAAAAGAAAAACAAAAAAAAGATAAAAAGACTACCTGTAGTGCAAAGTAAGGCTCTGTCTCAAAAAACACATACATACATAAATTTAAACATTATATATGTTTTGGTTATATTTCCAAACTTATAACCTTATTATAATTTGATCATGTACCATGAGATAAAATCTCTATAAATTTGAACATACAGAGACACTGCACAGGTCATGTCGTATGTGTTAACACGTGTCCTAAGCATCAAACCCATGAAACAGGAAGCGGATATAACATAGAAAATAGAAAAAAAAGTTAATATCTGAGGGCATTTGTGAAACTCTTATATATAAGCCAGAAAGAATGAACTTGTGGATAAAAACAGATGGTATTCAGAAAAAATATGGAGCAGACACAATGGCACACACCTGCAGTCCCAGCACTCTGGAGGCTGAGGCAGGAGGATCACCAGGAGTTCGAGGCCTGCCTGGGCTATATAATAAGTTCAAATCCGACCTGAACTACATAGTGAGACCCTATCTCAGAAAAGAAAGGCGTCCTCAACCTCACTAGTCAGAAACACAAGTGAGGATTTTTTTTTTTTTTTTTTTTTTTT